TGTTAATATGTGCAAACTTGGAAAATTAAATAAAGTTCAATTTTCGTTAAAAACCCCTGAAAATGTTATTTTTTCAAAAAGGATTTTGGAATATATGCACTTAGATTTATGTGTACCTTCTAATGAACCCACTTATGGTGGTAGTAGATATATCTTAACTGTAGTTGACGATTTTTCTAGAAAATTTTGGATTTTCTTATTGAAAAATAAACCTGATTTGTTTAAGGTTTTCAAGAACTGGAAAATTCAAATTGAAAGTGAAACTGGCCGGAAAATTAAATGTATTAAAATTGATAATGGTTTAAATTTTTGTAACACCTGGTTTAATAATTTCTGTGTGCAAATTGTATTAATTTTGAATTTGTCCCCAAGGCATCCCAATTTAGTGGGGTTGCTGAGAGGTTAAATCGGACTCTTTTGGAAAGAGTTGGATGTCTTTTGATATCGTCTGGTTTACCTAGAAAATTATGGGGTGAGGCTGCTGTAACAGCAGCGCATCTTTTAAATCGAACACCCTCTATCCCCCTTAATGGTGAAATTCCTGAAAGTAAGTGGTTGGGTAGAATTGTCGACATGTCTAATGTTCGTGTGTTTGGGTGTTCTGCTGTGATATGTATTTGCACTGATGGTTTAGATAAGAAAACTGAAAATTGTGTTTTCTTGGGTAATGGTGTTACAGGTTATAGGTTATGGCTTAGTTCTAGACCTGATTTTTAAACCATTATTAGTAATAATGTGACATTTAATGAAGGTGTTATGCCATGTTTGAATGAAAAGTCTAAGTTGTTTGATTCTAAAATTGCTAATAATTGTACAGATTTTAATAGTGTTTTAAATAAGGTGGAGCATAATGTGATTAAGGTAGAAGAGGTAGAAAATAAATTTGATGGATCTGATTTTGTCTTGGTTTTTCTAGGAATCAAAATATTGCTTGTGAACCTAAAACTATGCAATTTCCTATTTTAAAAATTTCTGAAATTGGTTCTGAAAATGATTCTAGAGTTGGTAATATTCTTCCTGTTTTCAAGAATGAAAATTCAAAATATGAGAGTGAGAGTGAATTTAAGAAATCAGATATTCGTTTTGATTGTACTGTTGAGCATTGTACTGTTGAGCAGTGTAAATATTGTGAATCTAAAGTTGTGCAATTTGATAACACTGAAGTTGCTGAAATTGATTATGGAAATGATGATTTTGCTCATAATGCTGCTGAAAAATTGTTTACTGTACAAAACGAAAATATAAAAATTGGAAAGGAAGACGACTGTGTTCTCAATTGTGGTTATATTAATTCTGGTTTGCATGAAATTAATATTCAATCTGCTGATAATGTGCAAATTGATGCTAAAATTGAGTTTGTCAATTTTGAGAGAGAAGTTACCTCTGTTTGTGAAAACGGTAGTCAAAGTGAGGTGGAGACTGATATAATTGACATTAGAGAGAAAGAAATTGAAAATTCTATTTTTCGTTGTCATTCTGAAAATCAGAAAATGGTTGCTGATTATATAAATGTGCAGTTATGTGATATACATGTTGATAATACTAGTTGTGAATCAGAAATTGTGCATTGTGATGTTCAAGTTGATGCTGATATTGCTTCTGATTCTTTGTTGTATATGAAAACTGCTGCTGAGCAATACACTGATTTTGTGAACGAAAATGTTGTTATCTCTGATGTAGAGTGTATGGTTGATAATGAGGAAAGATCTAGTGAAACTGATATTTTTGTTGGTGATTTTCGAATTTTATCTGCTCCAAGGCAGTTTGTGAATAAAATTGAAAATACAGTTTCTGAGATTAAAAATAATGTAGAAACTGATTTGGATAATAGTAATGAGTTAGAAAATTACTTATTTGTTAGAGATGAAGTTAAGAATAGTCCTAAGGTGTTTTCTATGTTTGGTAATTTTGATTCATCTTCTTTACCTAGAGGTATGTTTGAGAGCTTAGATGTGGATAAACCTATGAGTGATAGGAAATTGTTCAATCCTGAAAGTAAGTCTCAGTGTTTTGTGTTAAAAGAATATAAGAGCTCATTAGTTGATAATAAGTGTTTGAAATCAGTTCCTAGGTTTTGTCATTGGCTTATTGGCATTGTGTTATCATTGGTTGTAAATGATATGAAACTTTTGAAGCTTGCTACTATTGTTGTTTGTATGTTGTGTGCTACATATTTTGGTTGTATGACATATTTACAATGTAATATTGTTCTATTGAAGTTTGGATTTGAATGTATTCCTGCTATTGAAGATACAATGTTGTGGAAAATTAAGAAGTTTGTATCTTGTTTGAAAATGATATGCTTTGATACATTTGATTAGTTGTGTTCTACACATATGTGGATGGTAGGCTAAAATAATGTATTGTTTGACTAACTTGTATATATCTTTTTCTTTGTGCTGGTATATAATCCAAAATTATAGGCGATGATGATCCCCATTCCACTCGGACGAAAAATCAGGTGGAGGATTTGTTGGATTTTTGTCCTTCGGATCCACCCCAATATTATACACAACACACCAATTATCTAAGCAGCCCATTCGAACCGGGCCTGGCTTGTGACCCACAACCCACACCACAACCCGTTAAACTGACCCTTACCTGTGATGCGCCCCTTGCCTGTGACCCGCTCCATGACCCGCCTAGGATCTGCGTCCTTTTGCGAGGCCTAATTTGGGCCGTTGATTACAGATCTTGATCTTAGCCGTCCATTTCCATTTGGCATGTATATATATATAGAGAGAGAGTCATTCTTTGACTCACTACTCCTTAATCTCACTCTCTCTCTACGCTCACTACTCTCTGGCCTTTCCCCCTCTCTCTCTCTCGACCCACTGCTCTTCTCTTTCCAGTGACTTTCACGGCGGTTTCTCGGTGATGCCTTCCTCCTGTAATTTTGTGGAGTTCCTGTGGCACGTTTTCCCTTTTGTGTGTAGTCGTTCGTAGCCGAAAGGGGCTCGTCTGACGCAGTAGGCCTTCGGGTGCCTTGTTTGTGTTGGTGTGGGGTTATATATCATGTGTATCGTGGTCGTGGCCGGTTCGTTTGTGTAGTCGCTAGATTAGGTGTGTATTGTGTCGATTTTGTGCTTTTCTGAGTTGGTTGGGGCTGAGCCTAACCAAACTAGTTCAATATTTGTGATTTTACTTGATTTCATAAATAAAATACTTAGATCCGTTAATAAATTTCATAACAATTGGGATTAATCAAACTCCGTTCCTATATTTGTTGTGCTCTTGTGCAAAAGATTGTAACTATGTTTAAAGAAAAATATGACACTATCATATTCTCTAATAGTTTGTATGTGAATCCGACAAAGAAATAGTAATAGTAAAAATAATAAAGATTTAACCGGTTAATATTATTGTTCTTAAATAAAGCAAGGAAACTAAGTCATTTGCAAGGAAACTAAGAGAAGATGTGGAGACAGCGAGGGCCCGGTGATCCCATCCCTTCCCAAACAAACGGGATGGGATCACTGGCCCCTAAATATATTCACATACATACAATGTATATATATCACTTCATGGCCAGAGCGTGGACAGGACCGGTGATTTCATCCCCAAACTCTTACTGTGGGTTAAAATTTTTTAACTGTATAATAACCAAAGACTTCTTTTTGGAAGATTTAGAGTGATTAAATATTTAATTTGTATTAATTGTAGTGTCTAAATATTTGATAGTAAAAAAATTAAGGAAAAAAAAAAGTGTGAGAAATTGAAAATAAAGTGCAAAAATAAAAAATATAAACTTTGATTGAGATGTTGAATCTGATTTACAATGATTACATCAAAACTTATTTATAAAGTCTAAACGGTGTCTCTAAACCGACATGTCATTTCTAATCTACTGAAAACCGGATGGATGTAGCCCTTTATGTAAGAATTATCTAGAATTCATAATTTAATAATTACTCCAATAATATGCGATTTTATCAAAAATTCTAAATCTAAATAATTTGTGATTTTGTAACAAAATATGATATTTTTGTTAACAAAATTCAAGATTTTTCGGTACTCAAGATTTTCGATCAAAAATACCGATACTGGATTCAGCTGTTATTCGCAGCTTAGAATTCAAATCCAATATTGCTCTAAAATCTGTATCTTCTCCGTGTGTCAACATCCGCATACGTCCACCTGCCTTGTATAATTTTCAATATCACTACAAGAAAAAAATCATTTTGTAACAAAACTTTTTTGTCTCAAAATCTATTTTTTTCGTTACTAATGACATTAGAGACGGAATTAGGAACGGAATTACATTAGCTACGTGAACTTTAGGGACGGAATTCCATTACAAATATATTATTTTTTTGTAGTGTATGTTTATCATATATACGACCCTTTGGCATCCTTTAATTTCGTCGAAAATCGGTATCATTGAAATAGTTGTCAAAATTGATACTATCAGCGCGCTTTATTGGAACCAAATGTTGTCATACTCGACAATGAAGTATTTTTCGGTACCGACCTCGGCATGGTTGTCGGAACCAAAGCCGAACATTTGTCGGACCAACATCGAAATACTCGTCGGAACCAAAGTTGAAATATTTTTTTGTAACAAAAATCTTCGTTAGAACCAAAGCCAAAATATTTGTTGGGTCTAAGCTCTAAATATTTCTCTGGAACCAAAATATTTTTTTTGGACTGAGGTCAAAATATTTTCTTTCTCTGGAACCAAAATATTTGTTGGGACCAATGTCCAAAATATTGTTTTGGAACCAAAATATTTTTTTGAAATCAAAAAATTTGTTGGGACCAAAATCACATTATTTTCATTGAATCAACTCTTGTATTTTTATAGGAACAACTTTTAGACCGTAATCGGTTTTGAAATCAAAATCTTATATGAAACTAATTAATAATTTTCGAGGTAGTACATGCCTTCCTTAGGCATCATCTTTATTTTATTCTAGAACTATTATTTTTATTAACTCACACGAGTGATTTTTAAAGAGTTGATAATTATTGAAATGTCTAAAAGTTTTAACTATTTGATGCACCCGAACAATTAATTTTTTTGTGGTAATTAACACAAACAAACACAACCGTTACAACCACCACAAATTACATAAATCCATGCATGCGATGCAACACACACCTAAATAACAACAATCGAAGTCATCAAGATTCAAATCGACGACACGCCCGTGTTGGCACCTAAAAATCAAAACCCAATCAATAATGGAGAACCGTAACACTGATCTCCAGCGTCGCATTCCCCGCCGCCACGTCGTAATAATACGTCTGCCATGTCGAGATCCCTCTGGCCAGGCGGAACACGCCCGTGCCGCCCACAATCGGTAGCTCCCGATACTTCCGGCGGTCGGGATTGTGGCCGAGAACCGCCAGCGTGCTGCCGTTCAACTCGCCGTCGGTGAACACAAACGTCATCGCGACGGCCAGCGCCACCTCCTCCATCCCGGCGCCGCCGTAGAACCCTCGGATGTACCCGATGTGCTTCGACGAGAGCGCCGGCGCGATGGTCAGCGGGTCATCGGCGATAATGAAGTTGCCGAAGAACGTCGGCGACCTTGCCGTCATGTTCGCCTGAGCTACCATCGCCGAAGTTACGTTTGTGCCCTTGATCATGTCCCTGGCGTAAAAGTGCAATTTCGTCATTTTCTCCGGCGGGTTGGAGCGGGTGAATTTTTCGAACCAGGCTTCGACTTCTTCGGGGCTCTGAACGCCGTCGTTGGTGGTGGAGACGACGCCGGAGAAAATGGCGGCGATGATGGCGGCGGCGGCGATAATTTCAGTGGATTTGGTCATGGTTTTGATTGGAGATCTGTGGGAAGGACGACGACGGGGTGCTGTATTTTATATCATGAGCAAGCTAATAGTTGAGGTGAAATTGATCAATGGCGGATTTGATCTGGACCCTTCGTGCTGCAGAGCTTTGGACGGTGTAGATTGAGCAGATCAAAGCAGGGATTAGAATAGAAGTATGAGTTGAAAAAGGAGCATATAGTGGCGGAATTGAGAATCATTGTGGATGGCCATGGCTGCCTAAATTTATTGTGTTATTTTATTGTACTTTTTGAAATTCGGGAAATTTTTGGGTTATTTTTGGTTTAAATTTCAAATTCATACATTATTATTTTTTTATAAAATACTTCCTTCATACATTTACTTTTGGCCCGTCATTTAAAAAATAATAGTATTTTAATTATAGTAGGTAGATAAAAGTAGTATAATGATATTTTTGTTCTTATTTATTTATTTATTTATTTTATAAAAGTAATGATGTGATGTAAAGTAAAGATATTTGTGGAAAAATTGGGTATTTAATGAAACGATTACTTTGTAATTTGACGTCCCAAAATAAAAATATGTATACTTTTTAACTAGAGAGAGTATTTAAATTAAAATTCAAAATTAAATTCTAATTTTCTAACGAAAATCAAACAGTGAAACAGACAATTTTCTGTGTTTTTATTTTTGATTTGTATATTAAATTTTAAAATTTTTTTTTTTTAATGAAAGTAGTTGTATTAGTGTTCAAAAAAAAAAATAATACACGTTATGATTAATGTTAAAAAATACTTATAATATATACTCTATAAACTTTTATAAAAAAATTAACAATTCTAACTTAAAATATTAATTCTTATAACATCAATATATATTTGGCATATAAAAACATTTTAATTTAAAAAAAAAAAAAAAAAGAAACACATTCAACATCAATATATATTTGGCATATAAAAACATTTTAATTTAAAAAAAAAAAAAAGAAACACATGAATGTTTGGGTTTGTTGGTTTAGTATTTTAATTTGAATTAAATTTTGTGTAAAATATAAGGAATCATATTTGTAATATAAATACAATACTGATATTTTATGTTAAATATTGATTTTTCATAAAATTATATAATATATATTCTAGTATATATTAAAGATCGTATCAAAAAAATTTGTGTTAGAGAAACAAACTCTTTGTAAATATTCCTTCCGTTCTAGTTAATTTGTCCATTTTACTTAGGACACAGAGTTTTACATATTGTGTAATTAGTAAATAATTAAAAAATATATTAGTAAAAATAAATATAAATTAAAATTATGATGATTAAATAGTTTAATTACAATAAAAAAATTATAAATTATAAATTTTTAAAATACTATTAAAATGTATAATTATATTTCAGGAAATGATAAATTATATTGTTGAATATAAAATTTATAATTAGAGTAATGACCCAAAATAAGAGGAGATGTGGGTCTGTCATTGGGCCGATCAGATGGCTAAGGGTTTATCGAAGCGGTCGGTTGGTCAGCAATCCGTTAAAGGGGCCAAGGGTTTCTCTGGGCGGAAGGATCGGCGGCTAGGCGGTCGGTTGGTCAGCCGCCCGTTTAAAGAGACAGGGCAGTACGCGGATGATCGGACGAGCAATTGAATTCGATAACTAATAGGAACGGTTGGTGGGACGTTTAAAACACGTGCCAGTTAGGGATTAATGGGTGAAGCAGTTGATAGCAGTTGCGGTAACCGACAAGGTGACGTTTTGAAACGTTTCCTTAGGAATTATTTAATGATTCAGGAAAATTCAGATAAGGGATCTTCAATCAGACAAGAATTAATTACGAATTCCCTATTGGGTCACCATTTATTTTTATATATTTACTACTCTGCTCTACAAATAACTTTTATTCAAATTTGATAACATTTTTGAATTTTACTTTGTGTTGTTGAAAAAACCATTCAACATATATAAAACGGACTGAAATAATAAAGTGAACAAAGTATCTGAGACAGAGTAATTATATTTTTGTATTCGAGTTCGTCTAGCATTAACAAACTCATACATTTTTTTGGAATAATATTATCAAGAAATCACAATATATGCACTTATACTATATACATGGTATGTAAAAAATTAAAAAGTGAATAATTTAGTAAAGTGATTATTTTATATTCTGTCCCTTACACAAAAAACAATTAAACTTAAAAATATAAGACAAAAATAAGTATTTATTGGTGAATGGTTTAATGAATCTTGCATTTGAATAATTATTGGTGGTATTATTTGTATGTAAGGAGACTTGTTCTTTCACTTATTTTTTTTTACATATTTTTTCAAAAAAATTAATACACTGCACATATTTATTATTTTTATATTTTTTATACAATTTTTTATATTTTACATAAAAAATAATAAAATAAAAAAAATTCAACAATCTCCCAAAACAAACACACGTGATATTTTATCGTTTGATATAAATTAGTATTTCTTGAGCCCTCTATGCATTTATTAATTTATTTTTTCACATAATTTTTTAATATTAAAATTAAAATTGTATAGTATCAAAGAAGTATAAATACTCAAATTTATTCGTAAAAAAGACAAATTAGTTAAATAATACTCCAATGAAGATATTTTGTAATAAAATATAAGTTGTAAGTTTTTTTAAAAAAAGTTAGGTAAATAGTATAATTATTAAAAAAAACGATTAAATTGATTTTGGACGAATTAAAATAACAAAATAAATAAATTAATTTCGGATAAATACATTATAATAATATTGATATAAATAAGTGTAAACTTAAAAATATTTCTAATGTGTAAAATGGTACTTTTTTAAATTCTTAGGGACTGTTTGGTTCATGGACTTTTTTTGTGGGATTGGAATTTCACAGCAGGATTTATACGTGATGGGATTTATTATATTTAGGATTTATAATCCTATCATATGTTTGGTTAGTAAAATTATGTGGGATTTATATTTCTCACGTCTTGTTTTTTTTTTATATGAGTAGAAAGATTTGGATTTTTTATATTCTAAATGACATAATTGTCTCCATATGAATTTTATTTATTTTGATAAATTAAACATCTAATTTATAATAAATATAAATTGAAAATGTATTAATAATTTTATAGGGATTACAATAGGTTATTGTAAACTCGAAACCCGACTCGAATCCGACCTATTTATTTGAATTTGAGTCCAATTATTTGAGTATTAGATCTTGATCTGGTCATATTATGGGTATTCTAATCGGGTCCAAATCGGGTCTAGGGTCTAAGCGGACCATACCCGCACCCAGACTCGATTTATAATATTAATAATATATCGACTATACATATGAAAAAATAATTTCTAACAATATAATTATATTAAATTTTTTTTTTAAGTTTAATTTATTTATTATTTTATTATAATATTTTTTTTCATAAATACATATATTTGGTCGGTACATGTGTAATTTTAAATTAAAATTTAAGAATTGTAAAAAGAATTAGATTTGTTAGATCCATCGGGTTTTACCGGGTATAGTTTCGGCCGGATCTAGTATAATCAGATCCAATTTGGATCTAAAGTCTAACAATATATATTCGGGACGGATCTCAATTCCGGCTGAATTCGACTTATTGTCATTATGATAATTTTATAATTTAAATAAAATTTATAATAAATAACAATTTAAAACAATGAATTCATTAATTTATTTAAAAAATATTGTACCATAAAAAATAATAGTATTAATTTAATTTAATATATAATTCAAATAAAAATTAATTTTAAAATTATTTAATTTAATTTTATATAAATATATTTATAATATATGATATATATTTTTTTACATAAGAATATAAAAGTAAAATTTAAAATCCCATAAAATGAGATTTAAAAGTAATAGGGTACCCCATTACTAATAAATCCCTTAGGACTTTGGACTATGTTTCCATTATTTTTTTTTATCCAAACATGAATTTCATGGAATTTTAAAATCCAAATGTCATAAAATTCTATTAAATCATTGAAACAAACAGCCCGTGTAGAATCAATACAAAACTTATAAACAAAAATAATATTCTCGATTTCCATCAAGTTTATGTATTTCTTTTGTCCTAAAAAATATACAATTTTTTATTTATAATAAATAATTCTTATATATTTCTTAATTTTTATCATTCACTGTTACATTTATTTATTTACAAGCATACAGCAATTACTTACTTACTATTTTATAAAATATATATATATATATATACAAGTAAAAGATTTACTTACAGTATTAACTCGTATATTTTTCAAAATATCATCACTTTATGTTACAATAAATTCCTATAATATTATATTAATTAAAATTGGTATTCAACTCAAATGACATATATTTTGAAGGCTTTTTTGTCCCTGTATATATTTTAATTTGATACTACATCTCTTATCTAATTAATTATGTGTTCATTTGATTGGGTTTGAATTTTAAGAAAAATAGGTAAAAATAAAATTTTTTATTTATTTTGGTAAAGAAAAAGTAGTACTAGTATATTTTTTTTATTAAAAAAGAAAATGAGAATAAATTTTGATAACAACTAAAAAATTAAAATAAAAATAGATTTGGATGATAGAGGGAGTATTATGGTACCGATGGACGACGGGTACAGTATTGAGTTTTCAACACTATATTGACAGCATATCATGTGCTAACACACAACAAACGGTATGACTAGGAACAATACATCATATATGTTAATATAATACAAATATAACATATGAACTAACAAAATATGATATAGTCTCAAACAACATATGCAACAATTGATTTTGATATATGATATACTTTTATACCTCAGGTCCTCCTAAATACAACATATGATATAATTTCACACAATACATACTATAATTAATTTTAGCATATAATATACTTTTATATAACACAAGTTATAAATATAAATAATAGCACGTATATTATTTGAAATAAAGACATGTACTCTATATATATAATTTCAATCAGCACACCAAAACAACACCAAAATAATTATAATATATAGTAAATGGTTATGACTCATTATTTATGATGTGTTATTCAATTATAATTGGCACGTGTTTTAATTGGCTTATGCCATGTAATGAGATTGATGAGTAATCAATTTGTATA